CCCCCTCCCCCTCTCCTTTCCCCTCTTCCCCTTCCTCTCCTCTCTTTTCTTTTCTTGAGTGATTGCAGTATTCCTCTAAACCCATTTCCAGCTTCCCTGTTCACATCCAGTGAAGATCACTTTAGCTGCCTGCCATGACTCTGTCACTTCTTCTTTTTTTCTAAATAAAGCCTAATCTGGCACATCTTTAAGAACGGTACATATACACTCGTATCTCTCCCTCGAGTCCTCTTGCTTGCTTACCACTGTCTTACATCCTTCCGTCCACATTCTACCTTTTGCAGTTTATCTGTTCTTGTTTCCCATCAGCTTTTGTGCTGTTTTGGTCCCGTCATTCCAGAGGCTCTGCTTTCCAAGGTCATCTTGTTGTCGACTGTAGAGGTTCCTACTTATTTTCCCTTTTTTCCTTCAGCAGAGTGAGCACAGATTTATTAAGAAAAATTGAGAAAGAACTCCCAAGAGCGGGAGGGGTTCCAAGTGGCTAATACCCTGTTTGCACTTCTTACCTGACCATGGCTTTGGTGGTTTTTGCTTTTGTTTCCCGTAGACTCCCCTTTTTGTGCCATCTCTTCATTAGTGGTGGTCATAGGATTTATCAAGTCTGTTTTCTTTATATTTCTGAGTCAAAAAAGTTTTTGAACAGTACCCCCAACTGTTTGTCAGAGATCTGAAAAGTAGGCATGCAACCATCCTCAGCCTCCATTGTCTCCTTCAAGTTGCCTAAATAACCAGGGTACATCATTTTCTACTTCCGGCATTCTTCCATTTATCTGGTCCCCGTGTCACAGGAGCATTTCCCATCTTGTGTCTTCCCCAGAAAGTGTCGCAGTGTAGCTAACTGGTTCTGTTGCCTGTAACTTCTGGCCCTGCTGTCAGCTTGGTTTCTATATTTCAAAGAGAAGTCTTTAAAATACAAACCCGAACTATGTCACTCTGTAGGTCTTTCAGTAGTTTCTCACTTTTCAAGACCAAGTCCAGACTCCAACCTGTGATTTCACCTCTACCAATATTGCCAGCATTGTTCATCATTACTTTTTCTACTCTAACTATCAATAAACCTTTAGACCCTAAAGGTACTTCTTTCTCACTTGTGCCCAGTCTTCTCTGGAGCTCAGCTTCCCTGATCAAACTTAAGTCTGGAGAGTGTGCCTGGTCTGTTTCCTTGCACTGCTAGATATGTACGTAACCCAGCCTGGCTTCCAGATGCTAGGATCACAGATGTGTATCATTACTCGTCTTTGCAGGCTGTTCTCTACCCCCCTCATGGAGCAGCTCTTTGAACTGTGGGTAGCGGGCTGCTTTTTTTTTTTTTTTTTTTTTTTTTTTTTACTATCATTGAATGTGTTATAGATTTGTTGAGAAAAGTGCCTGAGTCTGCCTTGTGTCCAGTGGTATCCCTACCACCTAGTATAATGTATATGATGTCACAGTTAATATACTTATCGTAGGAACACACAGATAAACAGTAAAATCTACTTGAGATATCGATTCTAGACTTTTTGAAACTTGAGAAGATCAAGGCTGTCAGTCTGTCCCTCCCTGCAGTGCATCTGGAGCAGTGTGCATAGTGATGACTGTAACTAAAGCATCAAGGTACTGGTGGATGAAACACTGGACCACAGCAAGGTGTTAGACAGAATAAGGATCTGAGTTTGCCGGTTCTAGACTTCCCCAAATCCTGTTTACACAACATCCCAGATTTAGCAAAAATAGGTGCTGTGTGGAGAATATTTGTGCATGTAGGTTTCAAAGATTGGTGGCCACTACCAGTGCCACCACATGAAATCCAAAACATGTTATAGACTCATGCAGACGGTGATATAGTCTCGGTCACCTTGTTTCTAGTCATTAAAAAATATTTTTATGTAGGCACACATGTGCCATAGTGCACATGTGGAGGTCAGAGGATGACTTTGAAAGTAGGTTCTTCCCTTCCACCATGTGGGTTCTGGGGATCAGACTCAGGTAGCCAGGCTTGTCCACAAGTGCTTTTACCCACTCACCCATCTCACCAACACTCAGTCATTTTAAACTTCCCAAAATAGGAAAATCAGCACTAAACGATAAGCACTAACACTCTCACCAAACCTGATTACTTTTCACAGCTTTCCTTACTGTCTACACATTTTTATAATAGTTATGTATTATACTTTAAATGTTATGTGTATGCTTTCCCAAGCTTTTGTTAGCACTGTAGTGCCCATGACTGTTGTAATACCTTTTCCTCTTGGGGAACTCTCCAAGGTGAGTTTGCAGGGTTAGATAGAGGATGCAAACACCATGAAGTTTAGATTTGGGGCTGCCTGTGCTTTTCCAGAAGGGTCTTGTGAAAAGCTGACGGGTGTGAGGATACAAGATTTCTCAGTGTCACTGATGCATTGGAGTGAATGAGAGGAGAGGAAGGAAGACCCATGTCTGTAAAGTTTTCCTTTCATTGGTCTCATTTGTATGAGGTTTCATAAACATTCTTGTTAAGTATAGAGAAAACATTTGTATTAGATGACAACATATTCAAATGCAAATATCTTTTAAAGAGTAAATGGAAATTTATGTTGACTGCATAATTTGCATAATATGTTGACTGTTAATTTGTAGGAATTAATTTTTTAATTAAAAATTGTTAGAGAGCGTGTGTGTGTGTGTGTGTGTGTGTGTGTGTGTGTGTGTGTGTGTGTGTGTGTGTAGGTGTCTGTCTGGAGGCTATTTTCTCCTTCCATTGTGTGCCTGGGGATTGAACTCAGGTTGTCTGGCTTGAGGGACAAATGCTTTTACCATTGAACTTAATCCTGGCCATGTAGGAATTGAAAATGCATTCAAGATTGTATATTTAAGAGCTGGGCACTTAGCTGAACTCTTTTTCTCATATTTGGGTTGTTTTTAGAGCCGTGTATTTTGATTTGATGTGGCCCATTGCCCTTTATGTTGGGTCTGTGACTGTCCAGCTCACTGTGACGCTGGAGGCATCTCATTGTATGCTGTAATGAATAGTTTACACAGACGCCTGTGGAGAGCCTCTGTGTCTCAGTGCTGCGTTGAACTGGTTTACGCCTCTGGCACTCAGGCTCGTTTGTATCTATTGAGAGTTGTCGGCACTGTGCAGCTTATGTGTCAGTCACGTAGATCCCAAAGCTCCATCTGCCTCTTGTCTTTGCCTTTAGATGGATTTGGGGATTAGACTTTGCCAGATCGTCATTCCCTGAGAGGGAAAACATGTTAAGTCTTTCACAAAGCATCTTGATGTAAATACAGTAGTAGTAGTTACTTTTATTCCGCATATGCCTTTGCAGATTTCTGGTTTAGAATTTTGTTCTATGATGATACACAGTAGAGAGCTACCTCATTGACCTCGAGGTGGTTATGCAGGTCATTAATAGTACACTAGAGCTGAATGCAAAAAGCACTACAGAATAAAATATAGAATGTTGTACAGTTTATGTATAAATATATTTAGGTAGAGTGCTAGTTGAAGGAGTTCGTTGTTCTCCTAAGAGACAGAAGTGTAGAATAAGAGACTTTGACCTGAAAGTCCTGATCTGCTGCTTGGGTACATGCCATATCCATATATCATATTTTTTAAAAAAAGATATTTTATTTTTAATTATGTGCATCTGTGTGTGGGTATGTGTATATGAATGCAGGTGCCCATAGAGGCCAGAGGAAGGTATCAGATCCCTTGGAACTAGAGTTACAGGCTGCTGGGAACTGAACTTGGGTCCTTTGGAAGAACTGCACATACTCTTAATATTAACTGCTGAGCTATCTCTCCAGCCTTTATATTTCTTTTTAAAAGCCAGTTTGTTTGCTTGTTTGTTTGTTATCAAATGGCAGAGCATCTTGGGAGATGGCTCAGTGGTTAAAGTGCTTACCATGCAGTTGTGAGGATTGGAATTCAGAAACCCATTCAAATGCCAGGGGAACATGGGAGCCTGCCTGCAATTTCAGCCTGAAGGTGGATACAAGCTGGCTGTTATGACTGGCCACATCAGTAAGCTCTGAATTGAGCCTGTTTGAGTGAATATGGTAAAAGATGGATGAAAGATGATTCCTGATATCAATTTTATATATCCACATGCATGCCACACATGTGCACCTACACACATGCAAAAAAATCATCTATGTACACCACATATACATGAACACATGCACAACAAGCACACATGCACGCGCACACGAAAAAGGGAAAAGGGAAAACAACCGATTTGTGCCCCTGTTTATTTGACATAGTAGCAGTTTTACTGTGACTTACAGAGCTTGCATAGAGTTACCTTTTCTGTAATTCGAACTGGATGAGTAATCTGTCAGTGAGCTGTTACTATAAAGAAATCAAACTGTATTGCTTGTTTTCCTCTCCTCCTCTCTCAGGTCATTTGGATCCAGGATTCCTAGCAGGTGACAAAACATCTGTTGGCAATGCACCACTTAACGAAGAGATTCACATTGCCTCTTCAGACAGTGAAGTGGAGATTGTGGGTGTTCAGGAGCATGCAAGGTAGGCCAGTAATTGGGGGCATTCTGATACTTTAAATTGTGAGTCTATTTAAACCAACAAACAAAAAGTGATAGGAAAATGGTAGATCGGGGCTAGAGAGATGGCTCAGCTGTTGAGAGCACTGGCTGTGCTTCCAGAGGTCCTGAGTTCGATTCCCAGCAACCACATGGTGGCTCACAACCATCTCTAGTGGGTTCTGATGCCCTCTTTGGCATAAAGCTGTACATGCAGATAGAGCACTCATAATAAATAAAATCTTTTAAAAAACAAAGAAAATGGTAGACCTCATCCTTGGCATAAAGGTGTAGTCTGTCTTGCAGCTTTCTTTGGTTTAATACTTTTTGTTAAGATGTGGCTTGAGGTTTAGAGCATGTTCCATATTGTTGCATATAAAGAACATATCATTTGGAGCTGGAGAGTTGGCTCAGTAGTTAAGAGCACTGTTGCACTTATAGAAGAGTTCTTTTCCCAGCACCTACGTGCCTGCTCATAGCCGTCGGCTAATTCCAGTATAAGGGGATCCAGTGCCCTCTTCTGACCTCAGCAGGCACCAGGCACTTACATGGTGCATACATGCAGGCAAAACATTCATACATACAAAATAAAATAAATCTAAGAAAAAAAAGGAACATGTCAGTCATGGGTGTGTGTGAACTACAGCTGGTTCCCCCCTCCTTTTAAGCAAATGTCTAGGTACCATATCAGAGTTTGCTCTTAAGCAAAGAAAGATGTGTCTGGCTGGACTGTGGTGGCGCATGCCTTTAATCCCAGCACTCTGAGTTCCAGGACAGCCAGGGCAACACAGAGAAACCTGTCTCCAAAACAAAAACAAGCGGGGTATCGGTGGTGCGTGCCTTTAATCCCAGCACTCGGGAGGCAGAGCCAGGCGGATCTCTGTGAGTTCGAGGCCAGCCTGGGCTACCAAGTGAGTTCCAGGAAAGGCGCAAAGCTACACAGAGAAACCCTGTCTCGAAAAACAAAAACAAAAACAAAAACAACAAAAAAAAGAATGTAATTTTTATGGAATTTGATGTTCTTTATGGTAGGGGTTAGCAAACTGGTTCATAGGCCAAATCTGTCCTACCACAGGCTTTTGTACGTATTGAGAGCTAAGAGTGCTTTTTATACTTTTAGTTTTTAAAGATTTTATTATTTTTAATCGTGTGTGTGGGTAGGTGTATTTGATGTGAGTACAGGTGACCGTAGAAGTCCAAGTGTAAGATTCCTTGGAGCTGGAGTTGCAGAGTTACAGACGGTTGTGAGCTGCCTGATGTGGATGCTGGGAACTGATTCTCTGGAAGATCAGCATCGTCAGCCCTTTATGTTTTAAAATACTTGGGCAGGAATGGTATTTTATGACATAAAATTCTTAAGAAATTCATAAAATTATCCTAATGGAGTCACTGTTAGTCCATTTTGCACATAGCACACGTCTGCTTTTGCACTGCAGCCAAAATGTTGAATAGTTTAAGCAGACTGCATGGTCCCCAAAGCCCAAGATATTTAGCCTTTGGCAGGAAAAAAG